ATTGTTATTATGTAGAAATACATTGTATTGTATTTAAAAAAGTGTTTGTCAAAAACATATTCTACAAANATGTGTGATATCCGAACAAAATACCTTTTTGAAAAAAAGGTAAAAAAGGGCGCCAAGTACATGCGCAACTCGCATCTCTAGAAAACGTATTAATATTAAAATCTTTCTCTACAAAATCTATTCTACAAGAAAAATGATATCAATAAGTAACGCCAAGTAAAGTCTTGTACATTTATACATTGTTACAAAATATATAATATTATATAAAACTTTGTAAGTTGTTTATACATTGTTATAAAATATAAAATATTCCAAATAGAAAGTTTAAAAAGTGATATGCCACGGCCACCGTGTGTTCTATGGTTGCTAGGCAAGCGACGTTGAATATTACTCTAAAAAAAATATTACTCTAAAAATCTTTCTCTACAAAATTTATTTTACAAAAGAAATGATATCAATAAGTAGCGCCAAGTAAAATCTTGTATACATTTATACATTGTTACAAAATATAAAATATTATATTTGTAAGTTGTTTATACGTTTTAAAATATAAAATATGAAATATTCCAAAACAATAGAAAGTTTAAAAAATTATGTGATCAGTGTCCTTTATATATAAAGCACTCATGTAATGTAAGAAATGACCTTGCCTTGCGTGGACAACCTTAAACTATGTCGAATCATATAGATTTCGCTTTGTGTGAAAAGTCAAAAACCTATGTAAATTTTTTTAAAATACAAAATATTTAATAAAAACCTATATTCAATTAAAGTTTACTCTGATGTTATAGCTATTCAATAGTTTTTCTTATTAAGCGTACAACAAAGTACGTACTTTTCGAACTTTTTTGATGAAATAACATTATTTTCTTTCGACAACACTCACCTATGGTGATTCTCAAAAGTATCGAAAATTTTTTGAAGAACTCTCCTAATTGCTACACTCTTGTAGTGCTATACTAATTAATTTATTCTAAAATTAAACTTTCATATGTGAAGTACATGAATAGCTCATGTGTGCTAGTGTGTGTGCTCTGTCTTTAGTTTTCGGTCGTTTTGAATTGATTCGGACAAGGTAGGAGGACTAGGTCTTGAGACGTCTTATGTACATTTACTATGAACAAGCACCATAAGTACAACAACAAAAAATCTAATGAAACATTCAGATTATGGTTTGACTATCTAATTGATGAGAACAACGTCATAGTGTGCCGATATATATCTGATACCATATACTATCATTATGAATGAAAAACAGAGTTCACAAAAGCAGTATATATTTTCAAAAGCTTTATATAGTTTTGTACATTTATTTGCTTCTGTAGAAGCGCTTTTGATGTTGTGCAGTAAATAAAATTAGAAAATAAAAAAATTTAGGTTATAAAAACGTCGGTTTACAGGTCTTTATAGTCGGTATTCAATACCCTCTTAAAGAAAGCTTTGTCAAGATAAAGCGCGCGGACTACGGAAACATTGGCTGATTCGGTGGTTCTTCAGTTGCCGAGACGAGACTGACTTTTAAATCGACTGTTCAGCAGTCATCGAAAGAAACTAAATGTTCAAAACAAGACAAAACCCGCGACACTGACGAGAACAGCATGTAGAACCGTTGTCGTGAATACGCGCCTCCGGTTCTGCTAAGGATTACTAACATAATATCAACAAACATAAAGGATTGCCTACATGTGATTATATTAACGCACAAACACACACCTATAAGTAAATGGAAGTTGAAGTTTGCTTAAATATTATAGACACAAAAAAATTAAAGCGTCGTTCATGATCAAAATAGTTGCAGTTTGCTATAATATAAATATTTATTTATATATATGTGAAATTTATCACATTTTATATTTAAAATGACTAATTTTGTCACCGTATTGTCTAGCAAATCTCTTCAAAAATATTTGAAATCTCTAAGCAATATTAAATTACATACAGATTTTTGATTTATAAGAAAACAACGGTTGATATTGTAGACAGTAGTAGAGCCTATGAGAATGTACAGTGCGACATTTTCTTATAAAGTCAATAGAAAAAATATAATATAAGATCTATGTAAAAACTACATTAGTATAGCATGACTGGAATACGACAACATACTGTTTTATTTATGACTAATATAAATTTTTATGTTCTATGCTTTTACAACAAAAATAAGAAAACTATATACCTTAAAACGTATGAAAGTAATAGTATAAAAAAATAATCCAAACCTTGTAAAGAAGTAATTCTTACGTATTCCTAATACATTCTCGCGCATTTACTTTAGATCTGTGTACTACAAACGTATCCACTTGTACCAGTAGAAGAACAATAGTAAAAACCCATACAGCAAACTGAAAACAAATGTTACATAAATGTTATTTTCTACTGTTCTTGACAATTGAAAGAAAGAGAGAAAGAAAAAGAAACTATATTTCTTGATTTTGTTTATTCATAGAAATAAATATTATTAAAAACTCACCGAACGGACGAGCTTATATCCAAAATAAAATAAGCCCAATCCGGTAAACTTCAGTGGATGAAGCGATATTTGCAGACCAAACTGATAAATCTGTATTTTACAAATATTGTTACACAAATCTAAAGATACTCAAGACAGTTTATATAAAGAGATTGTGTGCTTAATTGAAATTACCTCATCATACGCATCTGCAAAACGAATAAGATGTGTCATTTTATGAATTACAATTTTGGTTTTTTCTGCCTAAAAGCAAGAATTAAGATTTTAGAAAAAGAAATATTTTTCTAATATTATTTCATATGTTATACAAAGTTATGTTACCTTGGCACTAACACTTTCACAAATGTGATTTACTATTATAAGTTTACTTAAAAAATAAATGGTCCATATAGTGCCGGAAATTATAAAGTACCATTTTATTAATCCGTTCTCGTTGCTCAAACATAGAATTATATGATATTGATTATAAACATATCCAGTAAACAGAACAAAGTAAGATGCCATTTGTACTGTCATTCGCTCTCCGTATAAAGCATTAATTTTGCGAGCCACATGGCAAAGTTCCAAATGAAGATGCCTACAGAAAGAAAACAAGTTTTATTAAATATGTTCATATACTTATGTTCATTTATATAGACAGTAAAGAATACCGTATTTTTCTGTTTTATGTGCATCTTTGTCTTTAATTTGAAATTAAATACGAAAGATTTATATATATTAGTAAATAACTACTTAGTGATCAACATTCTTTACAGTATGTAGCTTACAAAAATATTATTTAAACATATAATCAATACAAAAGTAGCACAAATATAAGCAGAACTTTGTACAAGTGAAAATATGAAGTATTGAGTAGTAAGAACACACTATTTTTATAAGTGGTAAAATCCCTATTTACAAATAATTGTTTTTGCAGTCTTTATATCTGTTATTTTAACATATACTAATAATTTACATTGCAATCCACAGCATACGCTTACGGTACTCTGTGCGTCGAATATAGTGACGATTGACTATAAGAGATGATTTTGACATACATTTCAAGTCATAGTTCTCAATCTCTGACAATTGTTCTATATGATCGTTTATTTTATCCAACCTAAAACCAATATATCTGTAATATTAAAACAAAAATTAAAATCTGCGGAGTTTTATGCACTTATTAGACAAAAAAATAAACAGATAATAAGTACAGTAAATATATTTGGAAATCTAAGTGTTTAATGTACAATAACAGTACGTTTCATACTAGCTTGCAAAATCGCAATATGTTATAATGTGTTATAATATGTTTAAATATTTGTCATTTCAACATAAGTTATAATTAATAATACGTATTTTATGTAATGTAGTATAGTTTTTTTATTTAAAATATAAAGTATTTTCTCCTGATTTTACACACATACATACAAACACTAACCTTAAAAGAGACAAAGTCATGAAGTCTAGTACAGTATTGACATGTACAGGATACTGTACAATCCAAAGAGCTATTAAATCTTGAAACTTTTCGAAATAGTTCAGATATAAGCCTATTAAATTATCAACAATACTTATTATACATGATAGCATAAACCATATAATCAATGACCAGGTAATCTCTTTTCGCATTCTAATAAATTCTTTAGATATACCGATTTTTTCTAATGTATCATTTACAAGATCTAATTTTTTAATACAAACCGACTGTTCCTGAAAATAAAATAATTAATAAAGCACATATATATGACTAAAATTTAATACTATACATTACAATTCTTAAAACTTTATTTTTTCTTTGTAAAATCATATGTGAAAAACCAAAGTAATTGTAACGTGTATTACCTGAATATTGTATTATATTTATTAAATTAAACAATAATGTAATGTCACAGTTAAACTGTACCTCGTATTTGTAAAAAGTGATAAATATAGATATCATCCACAGGAACAAACTTATTCCTATTATAAAGAAATTGAGGAATTGAACAAGTGAGTTTAACTTTAGCAGTTTACGTATCCATCTATTGTATAAATTCCAAATATAAACACTCCACACTAAAACAATATAAACAATACTTAAACACCATCTGGGATAACTGTTTGGGTGTTTGTAAATTCCACAACCCATGAAAAAAGCTATTATAAAATAAGGAAACATAACTTTTTCTATAGTATACTCCATGATTGCAACACTTGGAAGTCGATATGGTAACTACTAGGTCTTAACTTGGTAGTCGATGATCGTGTTGTCATATATTTATCACATTCATCACGGTGATGGCACTTAAGTAGATTTTTTCATTAACAGGTTTTACTCACTAAGTATTACTATGGGCTTTCTTTGAATTGAAAACATTAATCGTATAAGGTGTAAAAGAAAGAGAGAAAGAGAGAGAGAAGGAGAGAGAGAGAGAGAGAGAGGGAGAGAGAGAGAGAAACTGATACATATATCAATTAGAATGTGATGTATAAATATGTAAATACGATTAAAGAATCTTTTTCGGCTCTGAAGTTTCTAAACTAATAAATATATATTCGGTCACGGCACGGAAAGCCGGAGATTCCAGGTTCGACTCCTGGCCGAGGAGTTTTTTTCGCAATATAAATTTAATTTCAATTAGGGGGGTATTTGGGATTTTTCATATATGAGATGCAAGTATAGCATCCAATATGAATTTAAGAATTGTTATTTCAATTC